GTGTTGGAAAGTATGCTCGGCATATTTCATTTCGTGCTTTTATGTTGCCGTGGTTCTAAAATTTTGTGTGAGAGGTTGGTTAATTGCTTGCTTCATTTCTTGGTGTAATACTATATTGAAAAGATTTCAAGTTTTTATTGGTGTAAACTAAATGGAAAATAGATGGTTTTTTAAAAATACACCATTCCAAGAATTCCCTTGAACTTCATTAACCATAAGAATAAAGCCAGTGATGTATATATCTATAAAAATAAAGTTGAATAAGAATATAAGATAATGTCTTTGAACAAAATAAGAATTCCTTCGAACTCCATTAACATTATATCTTACTTAGAATGTAATGTCTATAAAAACACTAAAACACTCTTAAACATTGTTCTATGCTATAATTTGCAAATGTTCCTAACACCTATTCATTTATAAATAATTAAAACAATTGAAAAATACTTTGGAAACGATATCAAACTCTTCTATTGAAGAATAAGTCTTTCTTAGCTGTAATTGCAGGCATCGTGCATCCACATAGGTTTTTTAGATTTACTTGCATATAAAAAATGGAAAATTGTTGTTGAAACAAAATCGTTTAAAAATATTGCTCCAAACCCCTTTTAACATAACTCTTATAAGCAATTCACACGCATAAAAGGGTGTGATTTAAGGTTTACCTTTAAAGTATAGAATTTAGCTCTTCGGCTTTTTTTTCCCCTACTCTGCTCTCATAACAACTATGTAGACATGCAACAACCAATATCCTTGTTTTGCCGTCTCAGTTCCTCCTGGACAACATTAGCAACAACAATAGGTTCACCTTCAAAACACAATTATAAGGGTTTTAGAGAGAAGCAATAAATTAATTAGACAATTATCTTTTTCATTAACAAACACATTCCTAGATAATAGAAAATACCGAGTAGTGTTTTGCTTTAAACCTAAATGATACGGAATATTTGTTTACTTCATCTTGTTGATTCGGCATTTTACAATTCATCTTGAAGAATATATGTGAAGAATGAATATTTTCTATTAATTATTGTGTAGGAGTACAACCATATTTATATACAAGATGGGACTCCTAATCATGGTAGGAGTATAAGTAAGGAAACCTATACAAAAAGGTAACTACCAATAATACAATGATATAATAATAAATACATTAAATATACTTGACATAAATATATATTAAATATATTTAACATGCTCCCGGCTACGTCGGCTGCGGTGGAGGACGAATTCCCAGACTTGTGCGAAAATCCAAGAAGAGAACCGAGGGAAGTCCTTTAGTGAATATGTCAACATACTGGGAGGAGGAGGGAACATGGAGAACTCGAATATCTCCCAATGCGACCTTGTCGCGAACAAAGTGAATATCAACCTCGACATGTTTAGTGCGCTGGTGCTGGACTGGATTGGTGGATAAATAAACGGCACTAACATTGTCGCAGAACACGAGGGTGGCTCGTTGCAAGGGATGTCTGAGCTCAAGGAGAAGGTTTCGAATCCAACTGGCCTCTGCAACAGCATTGGCAACGGCGCGGTACTCGGCCTCGGCACTTGAGCGAGAGGTGGTGGCTTGCCGCTTGGAGGACCAGGAGACGAGATTATCACCAAGGAAAACGCAGTAGCCAGAAGTAGAGCGTCTGGTGTCTGGGCAGCCTGCCCAATCTGCATCAGAGTATGCCTGTAAAATGTCCGTGCGCGATGGAGTGAGGGAGATGCCCAATGTAGTGGTGCCACGGAGATAGCGGAGAACCCGCTTCATAGCTGTCATATGTGCCTCTCGTGGAGCATGGAGATGGAGACAGAGCTGCTGAACTGCATAGGTGATGTCTGACCGAGTAAATGTGAGGTACTGCAAGGCGCCAACAAGAGAGCGATAGAGGGAGGGGTCGGATGCATCTGGCCCAGCAGTAGAGGAGAGTTTCGACTTAGTATCAACAGGGGTGGAGATGGGGCGGCAGGTGACCATCCCGGCGCGCTCAAGAATGTCATGAATAAATTGTGTCTGATGAAGAAAGAGCCCACGGGAAGTGCGATGTACATTTATGCCCAAGAAAAAATGCAGATCGCCCATATCAGTCATAGCGAACTCGCCCTTGAGACGCTGTGTGAGATGCTGAAGGAGATGATCGGAGGATGCTGTGAGAACAATGTCATCTACATAGAGAAGTAAATATGCCGTGTCC